CATCAAGTGTTAACTCATGATTTCCTAATATCAAGTGTAAACTCATGATTTCCTAACATCAAGTGTTAACTCATGATTTCCTAACATCAAGTGTTAACTCATGATTTCCTAACATCAAGTGTTAACTCATGATTTCCTAACATCAAGTGTTAACTCATTATTTCCTAACATCAAGTGTTAACTAATTATTTCCTAACATCAAGTGTTAACTCATTTTTTCCTAACATCAAGTGTCAACTCATGATTTCCTAACATCAAGTGTTAACTCATTATTTCCTAACATCAAGTGTTAACTCATGATTTCCTAACATCAAGTGTTAACTCATTATTTCCTAACATCAAGTGTCTAACATCAAGTGTCAACTCATGATTTCCTAACATCAAGTGTTAACTCATTATTTCCTAACATCAAGTGTTTACTCATAATTTCCTAACATCAAGTGTTAACTCATTATTTCCTAACATCAAGTGTCAACTCATGATTTCCTAATATCAAGTGTTAACTCATTATTTCCTAACATCAAGTGTTAACTAATTATTTCCTAACATCAAGTGTTAACTCATGATTTCCTAACATCAAGTGTCAACTCATGATTTCCTAATATCAAGTGTTAACTCATTATTTCCTAACATCAAGTGTTAACTAATTATTTCCTAACATCAAGTGTTAACTCATAATTTCCTAACATCAAGTGTTAACTCATTATTTCCTAACATCAAGTGTCAACTCATGATTTCCTAATATCAAGTGTTAACTCATTATTTCCTAACATCAAGTGTTAACTCATGATTTCCTAACATCAAGTGTCAACTCATGATTTCCTAACATCAAGTGTTAACTCATGATTTCCTAATGCATGCTCCCTGATGTCTGTTTCAGTGGTGAGGCCAAGTATTGGAGACCTCAGCCTGGCTCAGATCCCTGCATCAGGTCACTCCTTGTCTTCCAACCAGCTGTTTGTGTTGACAATGATCCTGTCTGTGTTTGTGTTCAGTGTTCAAATAAACAAGTTATCACTCGTGTAATAGTGAGCTGAAATGAGACTGTTGAAATGGTCTTCCTGTTTCTACCACAATGGAGCGTAGCCCATCAACCAGCTTGGGCCAGGCTGCTTTATTCTGTGCCCTCTCGTAAAGCCTCCTTCATGTCCCCCCCCCCCTCTCTCATCATCATCAAGTCATTCTCCTACTGGCATGGATGATCATACCTCTCCCCAACCTAGGATCTTCAACAGCATTCACGGGACCATTTGCTAACAGCTCATGTGCTGTGATAAAAAAAGAATCTGTTCGGGTTGTTCCTCCCTCCTCCTGTTTATCTCTTTCCACACATCTTCCCAGTGGTCAAATGTTCCAGTTTCCATCTTCACTTGTAAAAAGAAAAACAGTAAAGGTGGCACATCAGGCATTTGAGGCTATACATATTTTTATAGACCAACTGGGTGATGTGGTCAACATCATCTGTCCACCTTTGCTTCCCATGACTTTACCTGTTACCCATTTGAGGCATGCTCATGTTTGGAAAAATCTGACACAGTGTGGATCTGAACCCACCACCTTCAGATCTGCATGCAAGCCTCCAGCCATTACATCTCCACTGTGTCCCCACTATACAGTATATTTCAACCATTGCCAGTTCACTCCTTAATCTGTCTTCTTCAATTTAAGTGTTTATTATTATCAGGTTTTTTCCAACATGGGGCCACTAGGAATGATGGGAAATAAACTGAGAAATGTACACTGTCTGTATGGAGGGCTTGTTCTCACTGTTGCCCAAACTGAAGTTGTCAAGTCTCTGTGTTGATACAAGAGATAACATGACGTCACCCCTGTTTTCATCATGACAAACTATAACATGAATGTCACCACCAGAATTACTACTACCACTAACAGGAAGAATAGCTGGGTGCACAGACACAAGGAGAGATTAGCTGAACAGGAAGAATAGCTGGGTGAACAGATTCAAGGAGAGATTAGCTGAACAGGAAGAATAGCTGGGTGGACAGATGCAAGGAGAGATGAGCTGAACAGGAAGAATAGCTGGGTGGACAGATAAACAGGCTGGATAGATGAATGAACTGGTGATGTAACATATTTTGTGGATGTATGGATTGGTGGGTCAGCTGTGCGGATGGATGATAGGCATGCCGATAGTTGGGTCAGTGGACATAATTTATTCAACAGGTCTGAATGTATTGACCACAGTTCATGAATCTCCACTGTTGTCCTAGTAGTCATGGTTACACTGTTGTCCTAGCAGTCATGGTTACACTGTTGTCCTAGTAGTCATGGTTACACTGTTGTCACTGCAGGTAAAACTGAGCAACTGTATCCAAACACTTTTATATTTGACACCACAGTGTTTTGTTATCTACAACTGTCATCGCTTTACAATTTATAAAAACCTGCTCATAACATTCCAGTTCTTCACTAGCACATCTAGTAATAACACTTCTTGGTCCTCTGTGTTATTTCATTTGTTTGTTTTTTGTTATAATAAAGTTTCCACCCAACAAACTATTGTTATCTGTTGTTGATAGACACAGATCTACAGGACAACAAGTAAACGTAACCAAGGACTAATGGAGACAACCATTGACTACATCTCTGAGTATATTATTACAAGAAACAACAATCATTTCTACACCATTGGGTATCTGGTGCAATACATCATCACATACACAGAAGATACAGGAACACATCTACATTCACCGTGTGGGTATCTGGTGCAATACATCATCACATACACAGAAGATACAGGAACACATCTACATTCACCGTGTGGGTATCTGGTGCAATACATCATCACATACACAGAAGATACAGGAACACATCTACATTCACCGTGTGGGTATCTGGTGCAATACATCATCACATACACAGAAGATACAGGAACACATCTACATTCACCGTATGGGTATCTGGTGCCATACATCATCACATACACAGAAGATACAGGAACACATCTACATTCACCGTGTGGGTATCTGGTGCAATACATCATCACATACACAGAAGATACAGGAACACATCTACATTCACCGTATGGGTATCTGGTGCCATACATCATCACATACACAGAAGATACAGGAACACATCTACATTCACCGTGTGGGTATCTGGTGCAATACATCATCACATACACAGAAGATACAGGAACACATCTACATTCACCGTATGGGTATCTGGTGCCATACATCATCACATACACAGAAGATACAGGAACACATCTACATTCACCGTATGGGTATCTGGTGCCATACATCATCACATACACAGAAGATACAGGAACACATCTACATTCACCGTGTGGGTATCTGGTGCCATACATCATCACATACACAGAAGATACAGGAACACATCTACATTCACCGTGTGGGTATCTGGTGCCATACATCATCACATACACAGAAGATACAGGAACACATCTACATTCACCGTGTGGGTATCTGGTGCCATACATCATCACATACACAGAAGATACAGGAACACATCTACATTCACCGTGTGGGTATCTGGTGCCATACATCATCACATACACAGAAGATACAGGAACACATCTACATTCACCGTATGGGTATCTGGAGCCATACATCAATCACATACACAGAAGATACAGGAACACATCTACATTCACCGTATGGGTATCTGGTGCCATACATCAATCACATACACAGAAGATACAGCAACACATCTACATTCACCGTGTGGGTATCTGGTGCCATACATCAATCACATACACAGAAGATACAGCAACACATCTACATTCACCGTATGGGTATCTGGTGCCATACATCAATCACATACACAGAAGATACAGCAACACATCTACATTCACCGTATGGGTATCTGGTGCCATACATCAATCACATACACAGAAGATACAGCAACACATCTACATTCACCGTATGGGTATCTGGTGCCATACATCATCACATACACAGAAGATACAGGAACACATCTACATTCACCGTGTGGGTATCTGGTGCCATACATCAATCACATACACAGAAGATACAGCAACACATCTACATTCACCGTGTGGGTATCTGGTGCCATACATCAATCACATACACAGAAGATACAGCAACACATCTACATTCACCGTGTGGGTATCTGGTGCCATACATCATCACATACACAGAAGATCTAGCAACACATCTACATTCACCGTGTGGGTTCTAGGGACCCCATTTTGGGACAGGGGAAAGAACAGACCCACTGCGCACCCCGCCCCCTAACAAGCATGCTGTAAAAGGCAACTAATTTGTGGTTTTATGAAATTGGGTTTAAAGGCACAGATATCACTGCCTAGCTGTAAACCATTATACAACCTGCCAATTTCCCTTTTAAGGGTGAATGCAGACAAGTAGCTTGACAATGTTCACTGATGATAGAATGCAGTGTCCAGCTAATGATACTCTAATCCCAGTGACACACAAGATGAGACAGGCTAAGGGTGGTGCCCTGGATTCCACACATGACACAGTGCTGACCACTTCAGGTCATCTTGGATGTGGCAAAGTTATGTTGTAAAGAATTTTTTTTTTTAATTAATCCTCTGCAATTTTTCTTGCTTGGATTCTTATTTGGATTTGTCAACCTTTGGCCAAGCCTTGATGTGCATTAAGTATATGCTCCATATTTGTGTATAGACCTTTCAGCACTTGAGGGGTGATGATGCCAACATCATGCTAGCCGCTGGTTGTGTTTGGATTCAAACACAAGAGCATTGGGTTACCAGGCAAACATATCGACCACTGCACTAGCACAGCTCCAAAACCTACAAATAGTACCTTTTACACCCGCCCCCCCCCCCCCTCCCTTTTTCCCACTTGCTGATCATTTCTTCAGCCTTGTAAAATGATTCAACATTTCTATGCAGAGAAAGACAATTTTATAAGTTTATGGTATGATGTGAGTAAATTATTTAGAGGCAACATCTAAAATATTGCTTTGGAATCCATGAATGAATTTATGTGTGAGGGCACCACAGCGGATTACTTTGCCATATTTTCAGGATTCAGGATCTCAATCCAATAGCCGTCTGGGTCTTGGATAAAGGCAAGGCCTTTCATTTTGCCTAGAAAAGAAGAAGAAATCAATCAATTAATCAGGTGATGTCTCCACTGTGAACTAGCCTAGCAGTAATAGATTTCCAACACTCTTTATCTCTTGCCCTGATTGTCCACTCTTGACTGATGCCTTCTATCCAGCTCTAGATATTATCTTTCCACTTGTATTGCTGCCCACCTCTTGCTTGCCAGCTTCAAGTCTCCCTCCATCCACTTCTCCTGGAATCATGGTAGCACAGCAGTCAGACAATAGCCTGTTGCCCTGAATGTCTATGGCAGGGCAATTCAACCCTTACATCCAGTCTGCAGTGGCCAAGCTCATGGATCACTGCCATTTGTATTGTATTAATGATCTTTCTACAATCAGGGTCTAGGCCACTGGCCCTGGTCCCATCTCTATGCTCAACACTTTGGTCCTGCAGTCAACCCGGCTGTACAGCCGCAGTCTAAGGTTTAAATCTGCACTGAAGCGGACATTTTTTTCTCTTCAAAATTGATCTCCAAGGTCAACCGGGGACTAAAATGTGTACCAGGCAATGTGTTGGGAAGTAAAGGTGGTTGGCGTGACAACATCACCTACTGAGTGTCGACATCTATAACACTGAAAGGTCTAGAACAAATGACTGATGTGCCAAATTCAGGAAATAGTCACTAACTTGTCTTTCCCTTTCCAGTAAGGTTTTCATGTCTTCTTCTTCTTCTTCCTTCTATCCCTAATGGAGCACAGGCCCTCGACCAACTCAGACCAAGTCATTCTACCCGTCCCTATTTCACTAAGCTCACCCCATGTCCCCCCCCCCCCTCCCAATCTTTTAAATTTTCCTCTCTAACTCCCTATTCCACACGTTTTTTAGTCTGGCTTTGTTTCTATGACTCTAGGGGTTTCAATGCAAAGACATACTAATTATATTGTTCTCAGGTTTTCTCAAGGTGTGTCCTATCCAATGCCAGCGTCTTTTCTTCACCTCTCAGTCCACTGAAACTTGCTTAGTTCCCTCCCAAAGCTCAACATCAGTGATTCCGTCAAACCATTTAATTCCCCCTATTCTGTTCAGGCAGCACTTAATGAATGTTTGTAGTTTATGAGTAACTGCACTAGTTGTTCTCCATGTTTCCATCCACCACATCAGTTTTTAAAAGAAAGCATGTCTGTAATTGCAGCTAAACTATTTCACCTTGTGCTTATTTCTGTCACTGAACTCTTGTCTATCTCAGTCTCTTTAGAAACTTTGTGTTTCAATATTTCTGTTTCCGTGAAAACAACACTACATGACTAAAAACACACGTTCATGAACTCACTACTTTTGCGGGGCTTATGCCTCCTAATCTTCTTTGTCTTCACTCCCTCATTTCAACACTTTAGGTGTCAAGGGAGATCAAAGGTTCTGTTTCCTGCTCTTCTGGTCACCTTGAGCGTAAACACATGATGCTGATGTAGAGCTTCTCTGATGTTAGGCATTCTCTCCAACTGGGTCAACTATTTCATCTGCTGTCTTTGTATATACTTTAGAATTGGTTCTGTGCTTTTTCTCGCATGAATTCGTTCCTGATTTTATCTTTTATGGTCACCCCCGCATATGGTCTTATGCATATGGCTCCCACCACATATTTTAAACCCCACACATCATACCCCTTAGTTAAGAAAAAACAGTTTTCCAAAATATCGAAAAGGAGCTGTGGTGATGTAGTGGCTAGTTGCTTGCCTGTGAGCTATCAAATCTTGGGATTCAAATCAAGGCAGATTTGTTTTTACCCGACTCTGCCCCAGCCTAAAATGGATGCCAGGACATGTCTGAAGAAACAGAGATGGCAGATATGATGTTGACAACTTCACACATCAATTGTCTGAGTTTGGTCTATACAATCATGGATCTATCATGATATGCCTCATGTATTGCTGGCATGAAATGTCTGAGTTTGGTCTATACAATCATGGATCTATCATGATATGCCTTATGTATTGCTGGCATGAAAGGTCTGAGTTTGGTCTATACAATCATGGATCTATCATGATATGCCTCATGTATTGCTGGCATGAAAGGTCTGGGTTTGGTCTATACAATCATGGATCTATCATGATATGCCTCATGTATTGCTGGCATGAAAGGTCTGAGTTTGGTCTATACAATCATGGATCTATCATGATATGCCTCATGTATTGCTGGCATGAAATGTCTGAGTTTGGTCTATACAATCATGGATCTATCATGATATGCCTCATGTATTGCTGGCATGAAAGGTCTGGGTTTGGTCTATACAATCATGGATCTATCATGATATGCCTCATGTATTGCTGGCATGAAATGTCTGAGTTTGGTCTATACAATCAAGGATCTATCATGATATGCCTCATGTATTGCTGGCATGAAATTGTCTGAGTTTGGTCTATACAATCAAGGATCTATCATGATATGCCTCATGTATTGCTGGCATGAAATGTCTGAGTTTGGTCTATACAATCAAGGATCTATCATGATATGCCTCATGTATTGCTGGCATGACATGTCTGAGTTTGGTCTATACAATCAAGGATCTATCATGATATGCCTCATGTATTGCTGGCATGACATGTCTGAGTTTGGTCTATACAATCAAGGATCTATCATGATATGCCTCATGTATTGCTGGCATAAAATTGTCTGAGTTTGGTCTATACAATCAAGGATCTATCATGATATGCCTCATGTATTGCTGGCATGAAATGTCTGAGTTTGGTCTATACATTCATGGATCTATCATGATATGCCTCATGTATTGCTGGCATGAAATGTCTGAGTTTGGTCTATACAATCAAGGATCTATCATGATATGCCTCATGTATTGCTGGCATGAAATGTCTGAGTTTGGTCTATACAATCAAGGATCTATCATGATATGCCTCATGTATTGCTGGCATGAAATGTCTGAGTTTGGTCTATACAATCAAGGATCTATCATGATATGCCTCATGTATTGCTGGCATGAAATGTCTGAGTTTGGTCTATACAATCAAGGATCTATCATGATATGCCTCATGTATTGCTGGCATGAAATGTCTGAGTTTGGTCTATACAATCATGGATCTATCATGATATGCCTCATGTATTGCTGGCATGAAATGTCTGAGTTTGGTCTATACAATCATGGATCTATCATGATATGCCTCATGTATTGCTGGCATGAAATGTCTGAGTTTGGTCTATACAATCAAGGATCTATCATGATATGCCTCATGTATTGCTGGCATGAAATGTCTGAGTTTGGTCTATACAATCATGGATCTATCATGATATGCCTCATGTATTGCTGGCATGAAATGTCTGAGTTTGGTCTATACAATCATGGATCTATCATGATATGCCTCATGTATTGCTGGCATGACATGTCTGATTTTGGTCTATACAATCAAGGATCTATCATGATATGCCTCATGTATTGCTGGCATGACATGTCTGAGTTTGGTCTATACAATCAAGGATCTATCATGATATGCCTCATGTATTGCTGGCATAAAATTGTCTGAGTTTGGTCTATACAATCAAGGATCTATCATGATATGCCTCATGTATTGCTGGCATGAAATGTCTGAGTTTGGTCTATACATTCATGGATCTATCATGATATGCCTCATGTATTGCTGGCATGAAATGTCTGAGTTTTTGGTCTATACAATCAAGGATCTATCATGATATGCCTCATGTATTGCTGGCATGAAATGTCTGAGTTTGGTCTATACAATCAAGGATCTATCATGATATGCCTCATGTATTGCTGGCATGAAATGTCTGAGTTTGGTCTATACAATCAAGGATCTATCATGATATGCCTCATGTATTGCTGGCATGAAATGTCTGAGTTTTGGTCTATACAATCAAGGATCTATCATGATATGCCTCATGTATTGCTGGCATGAAATGTCTGAGTTTGGTCTATACAATCATGGATCTATCATGATATGCCTCATGTATTGCTGGCATGAAATGTCTGAGTTTGGTCTATACAATCATGGATCTATCATGATATGCCTCATGTATTGCTGGCATGAAATGTCTGAGTTTGGTCTATACAATCAAGGATCTATCATGATATGCCTCATGTATTGCTGGCATGAAATGTCTGAGTTTGGTCTATACAATCATGGATCTATCATGATATGCCTCATGTATTGCTGGCATGAAATGTCTGAGTTTGGTCTATACAATCATGGATCTATCATGATATGCCTCATGTATTGCTGGCATGACATGTCTGAGTTTGGTCTATACAATCAAGGATCTATCATGATATGCCTCATGTATTGCTGGCATGACATGTCTGAGTTTGGTCTATACAATCAAGGATCTATCATGATATGCCTCATGTATTGCTGGCATGAAATTGGTCCTTTAAAAAAAAAAAAAAGAAATATCAGACACTACATCTCAGAAGATCAGCCAAAAAAAAGCAAGAGGAAGGCCTAAAAAAAGATGGATCTACAACATTAAAGACACTTTACACCTTCACCGCATGGCAATAGTCAGTGCCAGAAGGTCTGCACCGGATCACAAATTGTTCCTCCCCATGACACTTACATGGCAGAAGTGGCTTATGATAATGATGATGATCAACTGTGGGAGGTTCAACATTCTCACTTTTCTTCTTAAGTGTTTGGCACATGAAAATGGTATACCTGAGTAAGCACTTGGGCAGGTAACAAAAGATACAGCAAAAACTGTAAGCAAGGCTTACCTGCATCAGGTTTCTTGACAAACGGCACTCCAAGATCCTCAAATCTGTCACATGCCTTGTAAACATCTGGCACGACAATGCCAATGTGGCCTGCAAATATTATATTACTTTAGGATTTAACAGGCACTCAAAACTGGCATCCTCTTTGTCTTATTATAAAGTTTAAATTCACAGCCAAATAAATAATACTGAGATTTTTAATTCTTTCAGTTCCAGAAGAGAACAGCAGCTCCCACGAAAAATACATGAGTGTTTTACTTTCATAGAAGCAACAAACCCATATGCTGCAAACACACACTGTGCTGCAAGCTCAAATATCTAGACATGGAAAGATATAAAACAGAACGAAAAGTAGATCAGCGAGCTTCACAATATAACAATCATAAACAAAACATTGCGACTACAGAGCCTTCATCAGCACACACATAAATCAAACAAAACCATACGAATATATAAAATCAATTAAACAATACAGCACAGTACAGACGAGTAGAAACAGATCATGACGACTGGCTGGAGCAACTTCTCGGTGACAAACATGTCTGTGCAGCTCATCCCACTGGTGCTCATTCAGACTGATGTCTGCAGTGTTGGCCAGGAAAGTTTGTTGTTGGCAGTCAGCAACTCTGAATGAGGTCTGACAAGTATCTAGCCAGATACATACAACCTAGAGAGGCCAAGTCACTGATGTAACTCAAGACCAAACTGCTGCATTTAAATCATCCTCTAGCACTGTTTACAAGATCAAGAAAATATTCCTTTTCTTCCTATGTCAATACCTGCTTTGTCCACTAGGTGTCAGTTTAACAGATGTTGGACTGCCGAGCTAGGGCGTGCTCAGTTGCTTAGTATGCTGTGGTGCTGAGACATCTTAGGCTATCCATCTTCTTCTAGGCCCCCCCCCCCTTCTTTTAATGTTTACATTTCCGTTCTGTATGCTCTCGCAGCCAGCATCATTGCATCCTTCTTCTTTTCTCCAGTCCTGGAATGCCTCACAGCATCAGGGCAGCAAGGTATCTCTGGAATGGGCCCTTATATTCACTTCACATATAGTACTTTCTAGTACCTCTAATATTTCCATCTTCAACGTGCTTGCCTCTGGATCCGTTGTATCTGTATAACACTGCTTTCTGTGGGGCTGTCTGCTGCCAATATTGTTACATGGCCAAACCATTTTATCTATTGTCTACCTATAAAGTTCAGTATGGTTTAGAGCTAACTCTCCTCCTGATATCATTGTTCCTATGTCGATCTTTACTTGTTATGCTTAGTTTGATATTATGCCAGCCATGACTAACTTGATTGTATCTTCTGAAGACAATGTCCATATCTGACACTGATAGCACAGCCCTGGTGAGAATACTGTGTGATAAAGTGCTCTTTTAGTGTTCATATCCACGTGCTTGCATTTTAATACTGGTGCTATTTGTCCTATAACTTTATTTGGTTGGTGTTACTACAGGTTGGTGTTACTACATCTTTGTTGTATTTCTTTATTTATTCTTCCATTTTTCTGAAAAAAAAATGCTCCCTAGATATTTACATCATTTCTGTTTTGTCTGCGGAGATCATAGTTGCTGCATTCTGAGTGCAGACTATTAAACATATTTTTGTAACTGTACTTCTGTTGGTGCTATGATTGCCTGGTCATTAGTGAAAAGCTATGCATGACATAATTCTCTAATGTTGTCCCTTTTGCTGGGGTTAGCTGATTTGTAAATTTGGTCGACATATGTAATGAATAGTAGTGGTGATAGAATACACACCTGTATCACTGAAGATCTTTTGTGGAACTTCTCTACTTCACTTGCCATGTCTTTCATGCTAGTTGGTTTATGGTCCCCTTATTTTTCTACATGCACTATATGAACGACTGTCAGTTTCCGGGACCAACCAGTGTTTTCATTCTTTTTTAGAATGGTCATACTTGAACAAGACCATCACATTCAGGCATTAGATTCATTCTCAATAAATCTTCAACAATTTAACTTTAAGCGAAGCAAAGGCCTTAGTGGCAATTTCATGAGGTCCTCGCAAGTGTTAGTTTCTTTTTCTTCCCCCCCCCCCCCCCCCCCCCCCCCCCCCCCCCCAAGTGTTTCCATTTTAGCCTTCCTACATTTTATCCAGTGGTTACCCCTGCCCTGAAGACCTGTTGATGTCTGAATGGATTTGCGCTACTGTCTTCTGTGAGATGGGGTCTGAATGACTAACTAGCTTGTTGTTTAGCCAGTGAGTTGACTGACTGGTTGACTTGATGATCAGCTAGTTGACTTGTTGATCAGCTGGTTGACTGCTTGGTGGGTAAAAGGCTAGCTGGTTGACTGGTCTCTTGTTGTGAATCCCTTAGAAGACACCTGTACCTCTCCCATCCTATGTATCAACGTTTAGATCATCTGAGCCCTGATAACGGCTTGTATCTATCAGGTTGAGACTGGTTTTTCCAGACTTTCTCTTTAACTTGGTACTGAAGTACTATCCCACAGGATCTGTTGCTGAAGAGCTCTGTTTTCCTTCTCCAAACCCAGAAACTGGAGTGCTGTGATAAACTTTACATCTGTGGAGAACAACATTAGGCTATATGTGACGATACAACACAGGCCAGCACACACAGGCAAGCTGGAGTTAGGTCGAGGTTGCTCATGCCGACTCCAAAGGTTTTGTGTATTTCACTGTCACACAACTCTAACTCAGTTCTTAGAAGGAGATTAGGAATGAGCACATGAGCACCCAACTCCCACTTTTTACAATATACCCGGCTGGATTCAGCAACATGAATCTTCACTTGTTTCCTGGCTGCTGGTACCAGGCTTGGAAAAAAGAAGTAAACACATCACATTTTCACTTAACTGACTTACCAAAGCCTCTGGGCTCTGAGTTTCCATTGTGGTAAACAAATTTCTCATCCTTCTCTGTGCCATAGTTACTGTAGTGAGCAAACAAGAACAAGTGTTATACCTGCTGCCGGCGTCAATGATAACATTCAATAACTGGTGCCAATGCAGAACAGAGGGAATTAAATGGTATGATAGAATCGCTAATATTGAGCTCTGGGAGAGAACTCAAGTTCTATAGAATCAAGAGATGAATAAAAGATTATGGCATTAAATAGGATATGTGTTGACAAAGCTTAGAACAATATAACTAGAATGTCTTTGCACTGGAACCCACAGGAGTATAGAAATAAAGGCAAACCAACAAACATACGGAGAAGGCAGCTAGAGAGTAAGGTTTTAAACAGATGGGCAGGACATAGTGTCAGCTGCAGGTCGACTGGGGAATATGGGGAATACAGGGCAGAAGAGGTGTCAATGGTACATCAAGTAAGTAGGCAAGTGTGTACATAGCAGTCATTAGTCACATCAGGTGTCTGAGGTTTCATGTTTACAAGTGCAAAGTTGAGTGGAACAATTTAAATGAACTGGTTTTGATCCCATATGAAACTCTCTCTGCAGAACAATTAGCTGCCTGCTGAGAGTGCCACACAATGCATGAACTCCATAGCTCCATCGATTGACCCCAGGGATCTCTGTAAAACTTGCAATCATGAAGTAGACAATACAATCTATGAATCTATTCCTTATGAGTGCAAGGGCAAGCAACTTAACTCTTTGTCCCAGGGGGTTTAGCATCATAGGTCTAGGGGGTAGTAAAGAAAGTAATAAAATCGGTGCATCATGCGTTCATTGGGCTTCTAGATAGGAACCTATGTATGTATGATGCGTTCCTTGGGACTCAAAGAGTTAACTTTAGAGACCTCCATAGTTTGAGCACTAAGGTATCTATCCATCAGGTGCCATCTTCACAACAAAGGTAGGCTTCAAGGGATTTCCAACAGCTTTAGTCTCTCACGCTGGTTGTACAGCCAGCACAGGGTTCCAGCTCCACTGGAACTAGCAGCAGTGACTTCATGTGCATTCTTCTGAGTGTCCAGTGTCTGCAAGTTGTTTTCTTCATGTTATCACCTTCATTACCTTCCTTCAACTTTCCTTCCGCTGTGGCTTTCAAATGAGTGTTTTATTTTTTCTACAATTTTACATATCTTTTTTTTTCATTGCCAGTCTCTACGGCAAACTTCTGTATTTGATAGTTTTGTATTTTCAGAAAAACAGTCTATTCTTCCGTAAATGACAACAAAAGGGGCCGAGCCCCCCCCCCCCCTTTCACCCAAACTAGGGGGCTAGATGGCCCCTTTTATCCATAAATAGAAATTCTCTTTACTAGTATTTCTTTACACATTTCATATTATTTCAAATACACTACAATATTTATTTGCCATTCAAGGCAGTATTATTATTATGCCCCTAAACTAGTCCCTGGTGCCCCCCCCCCCCCCCCCCCCCACTAGAAACTTTATCAGGCATGTTTTTTTTTTTTATGCCAGTGTCACTGTTATGGGTCAGCCATGTTTGGTGAGTGTGCATTTATAGCCCAATACTAATGTTTCAATACAATGTTGCATGTGTTCAAACACAGATGAGCAACTTACTGAGTCAGTTCTAAAGTAGCCTTTCTAGAAAAACAGAACTTGGCTCTCTCCTTGGGGTCAGTAGGGATGTCAGCCGGGTTTTCATAGCCCATAAAGTAGAGGGAAAAGTCCATGGCAGGAAAGTCCAACTTTAGTAACAAGCTGGGCAAAGAGAAACTTTTGTATTTTCCAAAACGTAATGTTGAACATTTTAATTTTCCAGAACATATTAGTGAACATTTTAATTTTCTAGAACATAATGGTGAACATTAAAATTTTCTAGAAGATAATGCTGGTTTAATTTTCCAGAACATAATGAACAGTTGAATTTTCCAGAACATAAATGTGAACATTAAAATTTTCTAGAAGATAATGGTAAACATTTAAGTGTGGGTTCATTTGCCTGCATGTTTCCACTAATCCGGTTGAAAGGGGTTTCTGCAGGCTCAGACAGGTTACAATAACCCTGTCTATTTAGTCATCTGCTGATCCGCAGGGTTCAGTGGAATAAATGTGAGGGATCCATATCATTTAAACCCCCCCCCCCCCCTCCCAAATTTAGAAAGGAATCTTTATTATGATTCTAATATTGATAATAAGTTCTTTAATAAAACGAATAAATTGTATCGGTTCATGGGAGACTTTCACAACTAAAAGAGGTGCTCGGTATTGGATAACTGAGAACCATTGGGTGACAACATTTATTGCATGGGAATGACATGAAGACTCAATGTAGTCTGAAAGGCTTGATTTATTGTATGGGAATGACAGAAAGACACAGTCTGACAGGTTTGATTTATTGCATGGGAATGACATGAAGAGACAGTCTAACAGGCTTGATTTATTGCATGGAATGACATAAGGAGACAGTCTGACAGGCTTGATTTATTGCATGGAATGACATGAAGAGACAGTCTGACAGGCTTGATTTATTGCATGGAATGACATGAAGAAACAATCTGACAGTCTGATTTATTGCATGGGAATGACATGAAGACTTAATGTAGTCTGAAAGGCTTGATTTATTGTATGGGAATGACATAAAGACAGTCTGACAGGTTTGTTTTTATTGCATGGAAATGTCATGAAGACACAGTCTAACAGGCTTGATTTATTGCATGGAATGACATGAAGAAACAATCTGACAGTCTGATTTATTGCATGGAATGACATGAAGAGACAATCTGATTTATTGTCGCCTAAAGGACTGTTGCCCGGCCAACATGGTACTCAAATATCTTCTCAATAATGCAGAATTTTCTATTCTTCCCCTCAACCTCTAAAACTCATCTCTATTGTGGTTGTTTCCACTGCAAGACTTCACTTGGTAACATTAACCAACTAAGTTTTTGAAATCATTATAAAAATCCAAGTTACATCCTAAATCATTGACATATTTTCCTGTGTGGGTTCTGTGGCCCCATCGTGGGGGAAACAAGGATAGACCCACTGTCTCCCCAACAAGCATGTCGTATGAGTCGACTCATTGGGGGCTTCCTTGCTTGATCACTCCCCCCAGACTATGATGATCCATTTGCTTCAAACTGTATCCTTGCTACCATAAGGCCTTAACTATGTCTGCCTTATCATGCACCAAGTTGTGCAGAGCCAGCTAGTCTGTCCACCTGTTGACTGGAGAAAAGAAACATCCGACCTAATCAGATGTGTATCTCAAGAGAGTACTCTGTGTAAGTCTAGAAACAAATCAGTTGCCATCAGCTTCTAACTCTGATCATCTATCTTTGTTCAGTCCTCACAACTTCTTCTTCTGCCTTTCTATCCCCCAATGGAGCATAGGCCCTCAACCAACTCACGCCAAGTCGTTCTATCCTTCGCCATTACATGGAGCTCTCCCCATGTCCTCCCAATCTTTTTAACCTCATTCTCCAGCTCTCTTCTCCATGTGTTTTTTGGCCTTCCTTTATTCCTATGCCCCTGTGGGTTCCAATGTAAAGACATTCCAGTTATGTTGTTCTCCTGTTTTCTCAGTGTGTGCCCTATCCAACGCCAGCGTCTTTTCCTCACCTCCTGATCCACTGGAGCCTGTTTAGTTCTCTCCCAAAGTTCTACATTAGTTATTCTATCATACCATTTTATTCCCTCTATTCTGCGCAGGCACCAGTTAATGAATGTCTGTAATTTATTAGTAATTGCCTTTTGTTGTTCTCCATGTTTCCGCCCCATACAATAGTACTGATTTGACATTAGAATTAAAAATTTTTAGTTTAGTATTTCTTTTAATTTCTTTTGACCTCCACAAATGCCCTAGTGCTATGAAAGCCCCTCTTGCCTTTTGTATTCTTATTTTAATATCTCTATCAGTTCCTCCATCTTTATCTACATTACTGCCTAAATAGGTGTACGACTCCACGTCTTGGAGTGGGGTGCCATTAAGAGAAACCACATTACTATTTGCCTGATTTATTCTCATTATCTTTGTCTTTCCTTTATGGATTTTCAGACCAAGCTGCTGTGATCTCGCATTAAGTATGTTTAATTTATCTTGTATCTGATTCCGTGAATGGGACAGAAGAGCAATATCATCAGCGAAGTCCAGATCATCAAGCTGTTTTGTAGGGGTCCACTGAATTCCATTCTTGGTGTTAGCAGTTACTGTTTTCATAGTCCAGTCTATAGCCAGTAAAAATAAGAGAGGCGACAAAAGACATCCCTGTCGCACACCTGTTTTTATTTCAAATGCATCTGTTAGCTTTCCCTCATGAAGAACTCGACATTTCATGTCTTTATATGTTGCCTTTACTAAGTTGATAATTTTCTGTGGGATTCCATAGTGCCCCATCAATTTCCAGAGAGATTCCCTATCAATGCTGTCAAATGCTTTTTCATAGTCTATAAATCCAATGTAAAGTGGTGAGTTCAGTTCAATGCTTTGCTCTATTATAATACGTAATGTGGCTATCTGATCAGTACAGGATCTGTTTGACCAAAAACCTGCCTGCTCATCTCCTAACATTTTATCAATAGCATCTTTTAATCTTTCCAAAATAATTCTACTTAAAATTTTTCCAGGAACTGACAGCAACATAATTCCTCTATAATTTTCACACTCCTGTAGATAACCTTTTTTGGGCAGTTTCACAAGATATCCTTCTCTTCAGTCTGCTGGTATTTCTTCGGTCTCCCAGACTTTACTGAATAATCTATGTAGCAATTCTGTTGATGTGTTTATGTTGGTCCTGATGGCTTCAGCTGGGATACCATCTGGGCCTGACGCCTTTCCTTCCTTAAGAAGATTTATAGCTTTTCTAATTTCCTCTTTGGATGGTATCTCACAGTTGATATCCAGTTCCATTTCTAAAGGCTGGATATCTGGGGGAACCTCTGGGCCTGGTCTATTTAGAAGCATTTCAAAATATTCAACCCATCTGTCCATTTGATCTTTAGTGTTAGTAAGTACCTTTCCTTGACTATTTTTGATTGATCCAGTTGGCTGACTATATTTACCTACTAATTTTCTTGTGTTACTGTAGAGTTCTCTGAGGTTTCCTTTTGCTGCTGCTGTCTCCGCTTCTTGTGCCAGATCATTTAGATATTTCACTTTATCTGCCCTTATATGCCTCCTAACTTCCTTGTTGGCTTCTGTGTAATTCTCCTGAGCTCTAGCTTTAGCAGCTCTAGTTTTGCTATTGTTTAATTCTGCCTTTTTACTTTTCCTATCTTCAATCAGTTTAATGGTTTCTGGTGTTATCCATGCTTTATGTTTCCTTTCTTTCTTGCCAAGAACTTCTAAGCAAGATTCATTACAGATTCCTTTGATCTGATCCCAGCAGACTTCTGTGTTGACATCTTCAGCTAACTGCTGCAACACCTGGTACTTATTAGAGACCGTAACTGAGAACTGTTCCTTAATTTCTTTATCTCTGAGAAAGCCTACATTATATTGGTTTCTATGATTAAAAGATGTTATATATCTTTTTAGTTTCAACTTGATTTTACTTATCACCAGGAAATGGTCAGTAAATACATTGGCACCTCTGAAAGCCCTAACATCGTAAAGGGATGATCTAAACTTTTTGTTAATACATATGTGGTCAATTTGATTAGTTGTCTTATGGTCTGGTGATTCCCATGTTGCCTTGTGTATTCTTTTATGGGGAAAAATACTTCCACCAATAACATACTGGTTACCTGCACAAAAATTTGTGAACAATTCTCCATTTTCATTCATTACTCCTAGACCATGTCTCCCAATAATTTCTTCATAACCTGTGTTGTCTGATCCTATCTTAGCATTCAAGTCACCCATCAAAATTTTTAAGTTGCCCTTTCTTTCATTATTTATGATATTTTGAAGCTGCATGTAAAATTCTTCTTTAACAGATGCATCTTTATCATTTGTTGGTGCATAACACTGTATTACCGACATGTTCACCTTCTGTTTTACTGTTCTAAAAGATGCTCTTATTATTCTGGGACTCACAGCTTCCCATTCTATTAGTCCATGTCTGCTTCTTTTGATAGCATCAGGGCCACTCCTTCACTGTGCGGCGAATTTTCCTCTGTGTGTCCTGAGAACAAAATAGTTTCTCCTGAATTAAGAATACTTTTCCCTGTCCCAGTCCATCTAGTTTCACATAACCCCAAAATACTAATTCTATAATGTTTCATTTCCTTTGCTACTTCCATTGTTCTCCCTATATCATAGAGAGTTCTAACATTCCAGGTGCCAATTCTGGAGGTTTTCCTAGCTAAGAGGAGGTAAGTCAACGATCCGGACTCCTTACGGCTTTCTCCACACCGTGTCATACTTCTTCTATTTGAAGAGCCTAACCTCATCTTGGTTGGCTGGATTTTATTTGCTTCTCTTTTTGACTTATCCATGGTTGGTTGGTTTTTGTGGCTATGGTTTTTACAGGATGAGGTAGCCAACCTCAAGCCCAACCCTACCCTTAGTCGCCTCTTACGACATGCCTGGTAGGGTGCAGTGTCACTATTCTTTGCTTCCCGTGAGGGCCCCGGTGACACACGGGCGCCTCAACACTTAGCCTGCCAGAAAAAGCAGGAGAGCCTGGCTGAGCTGAATGCTTCATGCATCTCCGGAAGTAGCCGGTAACCATGAGTCAGCCAGACGGCACACATGGAGGCCTCAAATAACCGGCAGTCTTTGAGTGACAGATGGTTGGAATGGAACAAAGCCGAAAAGAAAACTGTTGCTAAAGAAGCCTGGTGATCTCTGGCAAATACCTAGACTACAGGGCAGAAGAGGATTGACTAAGTCAGGTCTAACTTCACAATGTTTCTTAATATTCATTTTCTATTATCTTCTACTTCCTTCCTCTACTCCTGGAATGCCTCGTGGCGTCAGGGCAGGAAGAGTTCTCTGGAACGGGCCCTTCTGTTCGCTTCATATCAAGTACTTTCAGTGCTTCTGATATTTCTGTGGGTCATCTCCAGCACGGTCGACCTCTCGCTCTGTTACAGCTGTATTTGTATAACACTGCTCTCTGTGATGCCCTGTCTCATGCCAATCTTGTTACATGGCCAAACCATTTGATTTGTTGTCAACCTATAAAGTTTAGTATTGGTTCTGTGCCGACTCTCTCCTCCTGATATCGTTCCTAAGTCGATCTTTCCTCGTTACACCTAGCATTTTCTATTATACAGCCAGCAATTGCTCTCCTGGTATCACCTTCATCCTTCTGCTACTTACATTATCCCAGTCAGTGCCAACCTCTGCACTGTTAACATCTCTTTCTTAGAAACTGTTGTGCTTATGACATCCCCTTGAACTAAAACCTTTGTACTTATGATATCCCCTTCAACTGAAACCTTTGCACTTATGATTTCCCCTTCAACTGAAACCTGTGTACTTATGATATCCCCTTGAACTGAAACCTTAGTACTTACGTCATTCCCATAACCCTGGAATAGAAATCAAGAGATTTTTTGGATCTTTGACTCTGATCATTGTCTGCTGAAAGAAGAAACCCTAGGGATAAAAAAACAAAGCAAACTATGAAGTTAACTGAAACTATTCTCTAAATGATGAATGTCATTAAACAGAGAAATTCTGACATCTCTAGACTGACTACATCAACAGAGAGCTATTATATACAGACATTAGCAGATGCAGACAGAGACAACACAGAGTCACAAACATGTCTCTTTGGAGGACTGCTTTTTCCCGCTCTTCAAGCTCAGAAAACATCACAAAACAAGTCATGAAATTTCACACGTGTGTAAAGCAGTGATTTTCAACCTGGGGGGGGGGGGGGTGCAATCAAGATTCCAAAGGGGGAGGGGGGGGGTGACAAGCAATTTTGAAACTACATTATTACCTGCAATGAACTTCTTATACTAACTTTTTTTAAAAGTTGAATTATTAATATTTTTAACAAATGTTTATCAAAAACAAAAAGCCAAGGCTGATTCTGTTTTCATTTTCATGAGCATCTACTGTATAAAGATAAAACCACAACACAATTCTTGTAATAGCTTGGGTTGTTCTTCCTGTCCTCCTCTTTTTTATCAACATTCTTTTGTAAAGTTAAGGCAGTAAAGAGCGTTGGGAGGAACCTGAACAGGTACGAATACCACTTGTATAGCGGATGTAACCACATCAGGATATGGCACAACATAAACAAACTGTGGTCAAGTTTCCTCCATGGGTTTTAGGTATTCTAGTATCTTCCAACTCCTCTCAAGTGTCCAATGGACTTGGCAGATTAGTTTTTTACAAAAAATCAAATAACATAACATGCACAGTGCGTGGCGACAGTACTAGCCATGCCGCCCTAAATCCCCAGGCTCAATACCCCACTGGACTACATCATCCTAAAAAGTAGTACAGACAGACAGTAGCGACAGTTTTTATTTACAATCAATGATTAAAATTTAAATATATGTTGACCCTTTTAAAGCTAAAATCGAAAATGAAAAATAACACATTTATTAATTCACTGCAAATTAATTTACAGGGAGTAAAATACATAAAACATCTTTATTCCAGGTGTCCGGTATTTGATGTTTTCTGAACAGGATTTAAAATTTTTCACTTAGTCACCGCGAAAAGCAGATCCCGAGATGGAGATCCGTGCTGGGACGTTGAATGTTTTAATGCTTGGTAATCATGAAATGATGATAGATCTAAAGGTAATAATAAAATGTATCAGTAAGAAACAGATAAGCAGAAATACTATATCACCCTAAAAATTACTTAGTGTAAAACAGAATTTGAGGGCAACGAAACAGTTTATTATATTTACCTACTCACCTTACTGCGCTCTGTCAACAAACTTTACATTAGTTATAACATACCTCTGTCTCGGGTGGAGCCGGTGTCAACGCTTTCCTAGCTTCCTCTTCTGACAAAGCCATGTTAACCGGCTTGTTGGGGGCAGAGTTGTGACCTCGCAGAAACAGATGGGCGTTAGTTGGGGGTAGAGAACTGGGTTTGGTGAGAAATCTGAGGAACTGGCGAGAGACCGTCTGCAATATCATGGATCTCGTCTGCTTCTTGACTGGCAGGAAATGGGGTCAAAGTTCAACGCTTGTTTTTAACTCCTCTTTACAAGAGCTCTTTACTCCGGACCAGCGCGTAGTAAGCTCAGTCTCTCGGGGTAGTTAATGTAACAATAAAAAAATTTCAAAAGCATTTATCAATCCTTATAGAATATTTAAGAAAGAAGAGAATTTAAATTATCACTAGGGAACGTTAAAAAAAAAGCTGAAAACTATATATATGGTGGTTTAGAAACTTCTTCTCTCATCGCTTAATTAAAATGCTCGGCATTAATCCCAAACTCGAACGGCTACAGTAGTAATCCAAGCGTTGATATATACTTGTTCATTGCACATACATACAGGAAAAACTTGGATTATTAATGCGAGAGAGAGAGAGAGAGAGAGAGAGAGAGAGAGAGAGAGGGGGGGGAGGGAGGGAGAGAGAGAGAGAGAGAGAGAGAGAGAGAGAGAAAACAGATTACACAATGCATGTAATATATTGAATAGTCGATTTTATGGATCATACACATACTCGCACAAACACACACGCTCATATGCAGTGAGAGTAAGAAACAACATGTACAAATTGTGCAGTAATAGAAACAAATAGCAGCACAGACTGACTGACTTTCTACCCCACCTACCGCAATCTATCACACGAGCGACAAACAGCCGATGACACATTGTGCCATCATGTGGATGAGGATCACCGTGGAGAGGTCCCAGAAACCGCGTTTAGCCATTAGGCTATATTTGGCTGGCTATATTGGCTATATTGCGGCCCCTGGCAATAGCCAGGGTGGGGCTTCAAATAACGAAAAATTGCATCCTAAAAAAGACGGTAATAGTATTATAGCAGCACACACGAAGGCACGAGAGTAAAAGACGTAGACATACATATAAAAATGGGACACGGTTATCCCATGTGGATTCCGGGGCCTCACTGTGGGGCGGGGGGGGGGCGACAAAAATAGGCCCACTGCCTCCCCAAGCATGTCGTGGGAGTCGACTTATTGGAGACTACCTGAGGTCGTAATGCATCTTCCCAAAAAACAAGAAATCAGCAGTCTGAAAAAAAAAGCCAGATCTGTAAAACATTATGGTTTTCTTGCTGCGATAAGAACGGGTTAATCATGTCATGGAGATGTGTGTGAAATGTTAGGTGGAGCCTCACAATGATTCTATCTGTCATTTGTTATAGTGTGGTCGATTGTGTCAGTCTGAGTCGGTAGCTAGGCTCCGGTGTACGTAAATACATCACCTGTCTTTACCATCTTACCATTTGTGTGGGGGCGTGGTGGGGATGGAAATGGTTAGGTGCTCTGGTCCTGTCAGTATTGATTCATTTATCTTCCCTATTTACTGTCAGTCTTATCTTATTGTAAGTCCAACCAGTTTATGTTTATGCTAGATGCATGATGGGGAATAAGATCATTAAAAGTATGAAACTAGCATATGTACTTATACATGAACTTATACACACATACAAGAGACCACATTCTGAGATACAAGAAACTCACATATGTACTTATACATGAACTTATACACACATACAAGAGACCACATTCTGAGATACAAGAAAAACTCACATATGTACTTATACAATGAACTTATATACAAGAAACTCACATATGTACTTATACATGAACATACACATACAAGAGACCACATTCTGAGATACAAGAAACTCACATATGTACTTATACATGAACTTATACACACATACAAGAGACCACATTCTGAGATACAAGAAACTCACATATGTACTTATACATGAACTTATACACACATACAAGAGACCACATTCTGAGATACAAGAAACTCACATATGTACTTATACATGAACTTATACACACACATACAAGAGACCACATTCTGAGATACAAGAAACTCACATATGTACTTATACATGAACTTATACACACATACAAGAGACCACATTCTGAGATACAAGAAACTCACATATGTACTTATACATGAACTTATACACACATACAAGAGACCACATTCTGAGATACAAGAAACTCACATATGTACTTATACATGAACTTATACACACATACAAGAGACCACATTCTGAGATACAAGAAACTCACATATGTACTTATACATGAACTTATACACACATACAAGAGACCACATTCTGAGATACAAGAAACTCACATATGTACTTATACATGAACTTATACACACACAAGAGACCACATTCTGAGAGAAACCATACATTCTGAGATACACAAGAAACTCACATATACAAGAAACTACATATGTACTTATACATGAACTTATACACACATACAAGAGACCACATTCTGAGATACAAGAAACTCACATATGTACTTATACATGAACTTATACACACATACAAGAGACCACATTCTGAGATACAAGAAACTCACATATGTACTTATACATGAACTTATACACACATACAAGAGACCACATTCTGAGATACAAGAAACTCACATATGTACTTATACATGAACTTATACACACATACAAGAGACCACATTCTGAGATACAAGAAACTCACATATGTACTTATACATGAACTTATACACACATACAAGAGACCACATTCTGAGATACAAGAAACTCACATATGTACTTATACATGAACTTATACACACATACAAGAGACCACATTCTGAGATACAAGAAACTCACATATGTACTTATACATGAACTTATACACACATACAAGAGACCACATTCTGAGATACAAGAAACTCACATATGTACTTATACATGAACTTATACACACATACAAGAGACCACATTCTGAGATACAAGAAACTCACATATGTACTTATACATGAACTTATACACACATACAAGAGACCACATTCTGAGATACAAGAAACTCACATATGTACTTATACATGAACTTATACACACATACAAGAGACCACATTCTGAGATACAAGAAACTCACATATGTACTTATACATGAACTTATACACACATACAAGAGACCACATTCTGAGATACAAGAAACTCACATATGTACTTATACATGAACTTATACACACATACAAGAGACCACATTCTGAGATACAAGAAACTCACATATGTACTTATACATGAACTTATACACACATACAAGAGACCACATTCTGAGATACAAGAAACTCACATATTCTGACTTATACATGAACTTATACACACATACAAGAGACCACATTCTGAGATACAAGAAACTCACATATGTACTTATACATGAACTCATACACACATACAAGAGACCACATTCTGAGATACAAGAAACTCGCATATGTACTTATACATGAACTCATACACACATACAAGAGACCACATTCTGAGATACAAGAAACTCACATATGTACTTATACATGAACTTATACACACATACAAGAGACCACATTTTGAGATACAAGAAACTTGCATATGTACTTATACATGAACTTATACACACATACAAGAGACCACATTCTGAGATACAAGAAACTCACATATGTACTTATACATGAACTCATACACACATACAAGAGACCACATTCTGAGATACAAGAAACTCACATATGTACTTATACATGAACTCATACACACATACAAGAGACCACATTCTGAGATACAAGAAACATATCTACTTATACATGAACTTATACACACACACAAGAGACCACATTCTGAGATACTTATACTTATGAACTCATACACACATACAAGAGACCACATTCTGAGATACAAGAAACTCAAATATGTACTTATACATGAACTCATACACACACACAAGAGACCACATTCTGAGATACAAGAAACTTGCGTATGTATTCATACACATATACAAGAAACCACATTCTGAGATACAAGAAACTTACGTATGTATTCATACACACATACAAGAGACCACATTCTGAGAACAAGAAACTTGCGTATGTACTTATACATGAAACTCACATCATACAAGAGACCACATTCTGAGATACAAGAAAAACTCGCATATGTACTTATACATGAACTCATACACACATACAAGAGACCACATTCTGAGATACAAGAAACTCGCATATGTACTTATACATGAACTTACACATACAAGAGACCACACACACAAGAAAACTCATGTATACACACATACAAGAGACCACATTCTGAGATACAAGAAACTCACATATGTACTTATACATGAACTCATACACACATACAAGAGACCACATTTACAAGAAACTTGCGTATGTACTGAGACCACATTTTGAGATACAAGAAAAAACTCACATACACACATACATGTACTTATGAGATACAAGAAACATGTACTTATACATGAACTCATATACACACATACAAGAGACCAAGAAACTCGCACATTATGAGAGACTACATTATGAGATACAAGAAACTCACACATATGTACTTATACATGAACTTATACACACATACAAGAGACCACATTTTGAGATACAAGAAACTCACATATGTACTTATACATGAACTTATACACACATACAAGAGACCACATTCTGAGATACGAGAAACTCACATATGTACTTATACATGAACTCATAAACACACACAAGAGACCACATTCTGAGATACAAGAAACTTGCGTATATACTCATACCCATATACAAGAGACCACATTCTGAGATACAAGAAACTTGCATATGTACTTATACATGAACTCATACACACATTCAAGAGACCACATTCTGAGATACAAGAAACTTGCATATGTACTTATACATGAACTCATACACACATACAGGAGACCACATTCTGAGATACAAGAAACTCGCATATGTACTTATACATGAACTCATACACACATACAAGAGATCACATTCTGAGACACAAGAAACTCTCATATGTACTTATACATGAACTCATACACACATACAAGAGACTACATT